AGAGTAGAGAGAGAGAGAGAGAGAGAGAGAGAGAGAGAGAGAGAGAGAGACACACACACACACACACACACACACACACACACACACACACACACACACACACACACACACACACACACACGTTATCCTCTTGTAATAACAATTTCTCTGCATAGCTCACATTCATTGCTCATAATTCACTGAGCCCAGAAGTCTCTACAAGTGACCTCGGTGGGGTTAATTATATGATGTGAATATGTTTAGAATTCAACAGCTGCATTTTACTTGCAGAACTGCACTGGGGCAAGAGCCATTTGAATCTTCTTTGTAAGGGTTTATGCAAATCCATCTACCTTATGTATTTCTAGGTCACCTATTACTCTGTTATCCAAGTGCCTTCTCAGATCTTTTGATCTGACTATTCATCTATACCAAGAGAACTTACAGAAGAAACTCTTCTTAACCCTAAGAGCCTTATGGCTAATGCTACGATTATGTCACAGAATCTGTGACTTCCAGAGACCTCCTTCACATTTTCTGCTTCAGCAATGGGGCTGCAGGGCTGGAGCTGTCAACCAGCAAGGGCCCCAAAGCTCTCAGCTGCCACAGATGGTGGGGTCCCCTGCCGCTCCCAGCCACGATGGGCATGGGGGACCTTGCAGCTCTCAGCTGCTGCAGGCGGCAGTCAGCTCCCAGCGGCTGGCTCTGAGCTCTCAGCCCCACAGGTGGTGGGGGACCCCCGCAGCTCCCAGCCACTGGGGGGATGGACTCTGGAGCTGCAACAACAGTGGGTGCTGGACCCCCCCCCCCACACTCCCCATTTTGTAAGTTATTTTTAGTAAAAGTCAGGGACAGGTCACAGGCTTCCATGAATTTTTGTTTATTGCCCGTGACCTGTCCCTGATTTTTACTAAAAATAACTGTGACAAAATCTTAGCCTTACTTATGGCTTCCAAGTTGAATGATTTTTTGCAGGGTGCCAATATGGTAAAATATTAACCACTATTAAGGGCCAGAGACTGCTGGCATTGTAGCTCTTCTTACTGTGAGGTAAGAACAAATCTACCACTAAAACAGTCCTATCAAGGATTTAAGTGGGAGTCCTTTCTGACACTGAGGTACATACTCCTTTCTTCTGTAGTTTGCAGGGACAGCAAAAGCCAAAAATCTATAGGACTTTCTTCTATTTTCCGGTGCTATAACGAGTCATACTAATTAGAGAATAAAACAAACTAACCCTGCTAATGATCTACCCTAATTCAAGGCAAGTTCCGGATTGTTCACTTACCAAAAGGGGAAACATTTCTTTCAATTAATGGATTATCTGGAGTTGGAAAAAACAAAAACAAAATAAAAAAATTATTCATTTATATTTAAAAGAAAAAAAACATGTACTATTGGATAGTTTAAAACCTTGTGCAGACTAAGCAGTCACCATTATTCTGTCATTTGTTATGGTATCACTTATTTTCACATAGGAGGAAAAAAAGAGACTTTTATTGCATATTCTAGTCTCTGCATCCCAGGAGTTACAAGGTAAGTCGGACCTCATTCAGCTCTTTGTACAACAGATTTTCTCTTTGCATCTCAGCACTCAAGGACAAGTCACAGGTGCAAAGGTGGTTAATTTTGTGTCTTTGCTCTGAAAGGTTATAGAGCCTGCTCCTGAGCCCATTAAAATTACTGAAAGTCTTTCCTTTGACTTCCTTGGGCTTTGGAATGAACTCGTATGGGTTAAGCTATTGATGCATGGGGTAATGGACTGGAGTCTCCCACACCTTCTGTTAGTGTAGGTGTAGGGAAAGGATGCACCCAGCAGAATATGTAAACATAAATGACCAAATGCTTAAAAACTTGTGAGGCACTCTCCCTAAGATATGTTCCATTTAAAGAGGGGAATGTCAGAGGGGTTTGGCTTCTCGGGTCTTGGATCCGCTGCTGATATTCGAGTCTTGAAGATTCCCAAAGATTCTCATTCCTCCCCTTCACCCATCTCCTTGTTATACTTAAACGAGGAAGTGGAGTGGTGAAAATCAGTGGAACTTTACCATTTTTTAAATTTATCGTGCCTAGTGTCAGCAATGTGAGTCTCCACCAGGTACAATAAACTCAGTGGAGGATCTCCCACCTGTACGCCCTCCCTTTGAAATCAACTTCTAAAGGGCTTACGTGAGACGTTGAGTTTAACTTTATACGTGTCCTTAGTTTTGGTCACTTTGTTTCTAGCGATGCAGGTATACACATCTTCATCAGCAGGCTGAACTCCAGAGAGCATTAGAGAAAAGTTACCACGCTCCAGCTGATCCAAAAAGAGCCTGGTTCTGTTGTGGTATCTTCTGGACTGGTCTTTCAACAAGTCCTCCCCATGGTAAAACAAATGCACTACCACTGATGTATTTATCTGCCAGTATATAGAATAATTGGAAATGTTCAGCTTTTCAGAAGTCTTAATGGCACAGGGCAAAATAACGGTGTCTCCGCTGACTGCGTGGCACAAGGTTGCTTGGGGAATAGCTGTAAAATAAAAAAATGCTGAGTGTGAAAAGATAAAATTGATATTGTCAAGGGATAAATTGTGCTGAGCACCCGCAACGCCCATTGGTCAGCACCTCTCAGAATTTGGCTCTAAATTTGTCAATAACTGTAATGGAGAGACAAATGTACCAACACCTATGCCTTACTGATATCTTGAAAACAGCAGCTATTAATAGCCGTGAGCATTGGTGGATCTTCTGTAAAGCTATTAATCTATGGCACTTATATGATCCACATTACCAACAGTATCTGAGAGCCTCAATCTTTAATGCATTTATCCTCACAACACCCCTGTGAGTTAGGAAAATGTTATACCCACTTCCTAGATGGAAAGTCAGGCATCGAGAGACTAAGGCCCAGATCCACAAAGACATTTAGGCTCCTAACTTCCATTTAAATCAATTGAAGTTTAGGAGCCTACATACCGTTGTAGATCTGGGTCCAACTCACTTGCTCAAGGTCAGGTAGGAAATATGTGGCGGAGCAGTAAGTTGGGCCTAGGTATCCCAAGTCCCAAACTAGTGCCTAAATCATAGCAAAAGTTGATCTCTGGGTATATTTTGTGTTTGTGACTTATATAGAACTTGTCAAAATGTCTCTCAGCATTGTAAACTGGAGTAATTTGTGACTGACTATATTTCCCATATCATTTCCTCTTTGAGCAGAACCTTGCTAACTCTCTAACAACTAGGAGACCCATGCTGTATTAACAAATTTTGTAAATTAGCGAGTAAGCAAACAAACATTTAAAAAATAATCAAAGAACTTGTCCCAAAATGTACTTTATTTATTTTGACAAACTTACTACTAATTTGTTTAACTACTTCATAATATAGTGGAAAACATACTACAATGTAGCTTATAAAAAGTAATGAAGTTTTAGAAATAAGACTTAACAAACAAATCTCAATGCTTTTAAAGAGAGACTGTCAGGGAATTTAGGCTCAAAATATGGGTTTTATCAACATTTTGGGAAAAAATCTAGTAGGAGACAGGCAGAGATGTTGTAGTAGGCACCTTGGGAGAAGGTTCCAGAACAGTGAAGCAAATGACTATCCGTTTCTGGTTCAATAGGTTCTGAGATAGTATAGGTCTATAACTAACCCTTGGTATTGTTAAACAAATATGCCTGCAGCAAAGCAGAAATCCACTCCTCTATTAGAAACAGTGCAATAATGAAGTTCTTCCCTTATCAATCTGGGCACTTATAAAGATTAAGCTGAAAACCGTGATGCTGTGGCTTAATAACCTCATACTTCCCTACAAACACATGTTAATCTTAAATACCAAAGAGGATGTGTGGCAGAGCTGTCCCAGTGGCTCATTCAGAAGGATTGAATGTGTACTTCCCCATTTTAAAAAGAAAGGTGAGCCAAAGATTTCATTAACCAGGGAAGGGTCTTAAAGGTTGACAAGTTTGACAACACATTCTTCCATTGAACTCGTACCCATTTGGATGGCAGGAATCATATTTTCTTCTTGCTACATGGAGAGTCATATATGTAAATTCCACTAAATATAATGAGAATAGTGCTTTTTGCAATGGAGCCAAAGATTTAGCCATACGCTGTAGTCTTATCCTGCTCTTCTGTTACAGTGCCTTTGAAAATAATGGAGCAAACTTTTAGAAGGCTTGACCCCAAGTGGGCAAAGATTTGGGACTCAAGGTCTTTAACAGAAAACTCCCAGGACTCATTATTTTACCTTGATCATAATAAATAGTTTTCCTATATTTCCTCTTTGGTGTCAGACCCCTTGCATGTGTAATGCCGGCTTTCTAAACAGCTTAATACCAAGCACTCCTCAACAACCCAACCCAACGTACACTAACATGGCAGGGCATGTTCAATGAAGGAGAACAATTTCAATAAGCAAACAGGTGTAGACTGAGTGATTATAAAGAGCGAGAAAACATTATTTTTAATATTATGAAATGTACATTAGGAGTCTCCATCTATAGATTATTAGATTCTTACACTAATCTGCAGTTTGATGAACACATGCAAGCCTCTTCACTGACTAGTGGATGCATACTGTATTATACTTACCACCAGGGAAAAAGCACAGCAGTGAGTAGGAGAGTATCCAGAGGACATATTCCCTAGATAGTAAGAAAAACAGAGAAAAGTAGAATTCTGATATGGGAATAATCTTGGCTCTGATACTCCAGGATTGTTGCTTAGTTAGCATAGCAAACATTACATTTTTGTTATGTCCCATAAATCATCCCAGGCCATAATGTTTTTATCCAGATTCAAATTGATACCCAGGTTAGACTCTCAGTTGGAATCATCTTTTAGTGATGGGTGTCAGCCGTGACTTTTGGCTTCAGATCTGAACTTCCCCACAGTTTGAGGTGATTTTGGATCTGGTGTTCCTATTCAGGCCCTTCTGGGGTATGTTCATTGAAGGAAGTTAGCCATTGTGTACATAGACATAGTTTACCTGTTCATTTTTGCAGTGTCCCAGTCACTGTGAATCCCTTCACTCCATTAATGCCACCATGCACTCCATTAGCTGGGGTGGTTTTACCCTGTACAGAGAACAAAGACACAGAGGGAATGGGGAATGATTTCTGTTGTCCAGGGGAATTTATCTAGGATTACCATATCTCAAAAATAAAAAAAGAGGACCCTCCACGGGCCCTGGCCCCGCCCCAACTCCGCCCCTTCCCCACCCTAACTCCGCCCCCTCCTCCCTTCCACTCCCAGCCAGGGGGAAAGGGCTGCCCCAGTGCTACCGGCTTCAGGGTTTACTGGGCAGCCCCCAGACCCTGCGCCCCCAGCCGGCGCTTCCCCAGCGCAGCTGGAGCCCGGGAGGGGAAGCGCCCAGCCGGGGGCGCAAGGTCTGGAGGCTGCCCAGCAAACCGTGAAGCCGGTAGCGCTCGGGCTTTGGGCAGCCCCTATGCCTCCGGACCCTGCGCCCCCAGCCGGGCACTTCCCCGCCCGGGCTCCGGCGGC